GGACCTGATTAAACTTAAAAGCTTTTGTACAGCAAAGAATACTACAAGCAAGGTGAAAACACAACCCTCAGAACTGGAGAAAATAATAGCAAATGAAAGATGTGACAAAGAATTAATTTCCAAAATATATAAGCAGCTCATACAACTCAATACCAGAAAAGCAAACAACACAATCAAAAAGTGGGAAAAAGACCTAAACAGACACTTCTCCAAAGAAGACATACAGATGGCTAACAAACACATGAAAAGATGCTCAACATCACTCATTATTAGAGAAATGTGAATCAAAACTACAATGAGATATCACCTCAAACTGGTCAGAATGGCCATCATCAAAATGTCTACAAAAAATGCTGGAGAAGGTGTGGAGAAAAGGGAACACTCTTGCACTGTTGATGGGAATGTAAACTGACACAGCCATTATGGAAGACGGTACAGAGATTCCTTAAAAAAAACTAGGAATAAAACCACCATATGATGTATCAATCCCACTCCTAGGCATATAACCTGAGGAAACCAAAATTGAAAAAGACACATTGTTCATTGCAGCACTATGAACAATAGCTAGAACATGGAAGCAGCCTAGATGTCCATCAACAGATGAATGGATAAAGAAGTTGTGGTACATATACATGATGGAATATTACTCAGCCATAAAAAGGAACGCCTTTGAGTCAGTCCTAATGAGGTGGATGAACCTAGAACCTGTTACACAGAGTGAAGAGAGTCAGAAAGAGAAAGATAAATATCATACTCCAATGCACATATATGTAATCTAGAAAAATGGTATGTGCGAATTTACTTACAGGGCAGCAATGGAGAAACAGATATAGAAAATAGACTTGTGGACATGGGGCGAGGGGAGGAAAGGGTGAAATATATGGAAAGTGTAACACGGAAACTTACACTGCTATATGTAAAATAGATAGCCAATGGGAATTTGCTGTATGGCTAAGAAACTCAAACAGGGGTTTTGTATCAACCTGGAGGGGTGGGATGGGGAGGGAGGTTCAAAAGGGAGGGAATATATGTATACCTATGGCTGATTCAGAGGTTTAACAGAAAACAACAAAATTCTGTAAACCAATTATCCTTCAATTAAAAAAAAAAAAAAACTGAAAGTAGATCTACCATATGATCCAGCAATCCCACTCCAGGAAATATATCTGGAGAAAACTCTAATTCAAAAAGATACATAAACCTCAATGTTCACAGCAGCACTATTTTCAACAGCCAGGACATGGAAGCAACCTAAATGTCCATTGACACATGAATGGATTGAGAAGATATGGTGCATGTATGTATATTACTGAGCCATAAAAGAATGAAATAATGCCATTTGCAGCAACATGGATGAACCTAGAGATTATCACAGTAAGTGAAGTATACTAAGTGAAAAGAAAGACAAATACCACATCACTTACATGTGGGCTCTTTAAAAAAATAATACCAATAAACTTATTTACAGAAACAGACTCAGAGAGAGAACAGACTTGTGGTTATCAAAGAGGAAAGGGCTGGGAAGAGCATAATTAGGAGCTTGGGGTTAGCAGATACAAACTACTATATGCAAAATAAACAACAAATTCCTACTCTATAGCACCGAGAACTATATTCAACATTGTGTAATAAGCCATAATGGAAGAGAATATGGGGGGAAGGGCAGTGCACAATGCTTCAGTTTGGAGGATTCCATCAATGAAACTCATGATCAAACAAATCTCCACATCTAGCAGTTAATGAAAAGATAAATCTTCATCTAGTCTATTACCTAGTTTTTATCCAGTTACTCTTAGGACATTTGTAAGGAGTACCATTACCCTCAACAGTATTCTATTCTGGCAGAACTAACCAAATAATATTTTGCTCCTCCACCTACCTCACCCAAGCTAACATCTATTATAGAGTATCACAAATGTGTAGGATGGTACAGTGACTATAGGAACAATCTAGCAGCAGACAGTGGTGAGAAATGAGAATGCCTCCATAAGGTCAAAATTAAATCTGGCCACTAAAAGCTTTCATAATCAAGTTTTAATTTTATTTGAAATTTCAGACTTTTTTCATGTATTTCAATACATCCATTCTATAACAGTGATATTTAGCTTTAGCTTCAGCTGGATATGATTCAACACTTGACATTTTGGCCAGAATGCATATTTAATGTGTATACAATAGTCAATTAGTGACATTTTATAAGGTCACTTTAAAAAAATACAGTAGTTTATATAATGTATGTACATCATGGTGACTACAGTTAATACTGTACTGCATAACTGAAACTTGCTAAGAGAGTAGATCTAAAAAGTTCTCATCACAAGAAAAATAAAACTGTAACTATGTATGGTGACGGATGTTAACTAGACTTCTTGTGGTGATTATAGTATATACAAATACTGAGTCATGATATTGTATGGTTGAAACCAATGTTATCAATTATCAATTATACTTCAATTAAAAAAATAATATAGCTTTGTATGTACTGCCATGGAAAGATGCCCATCATCTCAATTGTTTCATGAAAAAAATCAAGTTTTAGTGCAGTATGAATAACACACACACATGTATACACACATACATGCAAATGCTATATATGCAGATACATATGTGTACATATCACAAAAATACTAATAAATGCATAGAAATAAGTCAAGATGGTTATATTTTGAGAATGATTCACTCTCAGAGGGCAGGGTTGAAGGAGACTTATCCTTTCTGTATAATACATTTTCCAGTTGAATTTTCCTTTGTAAACAATAAGCATGTGTTACTTTTGGAACTGAGCCAAACAAAATAAGGAAATCTAGAAAAAAGTTGAAACTTCTTAAGGGCTAAGACCTTCTCAGAATGCATTTAAGACAAAACATCCATAGACTTCAACAGCTGCCACACTAGGTGTCATTCATTCTAACCCTCACTTTCTAGAACAATAAAGAAACTTAGGTTCAATGGCCTGACTAGTCAGTTAATGACTAGACACTAAGACCTCCTAACATTTGTTATTATACCTCTAACTATTAATAACAAAGCTCTTTCCACTATTTCTACTAGTCTTCTCAGCTATCTGAGCTCCCTAGGGAAAAAACATACTCAATAAATATTTCATTTACTGAGTAGTGACATTTGATACACTACTCTTGATATGTTGACAATATTTGAAGACATGAAAATCCAAACTCAAGAACAGAATTCCTCACTTTAGGAATCATTTCAGGGGTTCCTGTAAATTAGTACTTTAAAAATTAAGAGTATTTTCATAGACCTCTAAGTATTCTAACAGCAGTAGCATCAGAGAAATAAAGGTGATACACCAACCACTGCTGTATGATTGTATACCCAGGATGCTCACTCTGCCTGACCTCTCAAACTAGTCTAACACAAATTTTAGGATCAGTGACAAAGTGGACACCAAACTAGCTAGACTTCCACAATACCAACACGCTATCAAAAAATATACCCTCTAGTCATAGATAAGACAGCTTTGAATGTTAGGCTTACCCTTTCAGCCACAGCAGCATACAAGAGCTTTCACTCAAGTTAAAGAACTTAACCAGTAAAAGTTCAAGCACAATCTTTATCTGGGCAAAGAAACCTACAAGACTTTCAGTTTCAAAAATACAGATCAGATATATATAAAGAGCAAATGTGGAAGATGGAAAATGTGTCCAATGATTTGGGAGTGGCAATTCCTATAACAGACGTTTATCCTAGGTGTTTGGATCTCATCCTTATCAAACTGGCCCAGACCCTTGTGGTATGTCCATTTGGAAACCAACTGTATAAAGCAAGAGGAATGTAGCACAGTTTCTGGATGAGTACTTCATTTTAGGGCTTCCCTGCTGGCTCAGGTGGTAAAGAATCTGCCTGCAATGCGAGAGACCTGGGTTCAATCCCCAGGTTGGGAAGATCCTCTGGAGGAGGGCATGGCAATCCACTCCAGTATTCTTGCCTGGAGAAACCCCATGAACTGAGGAGCCTGGAGGGCTGCAGTCCAAGGTGTTGCAAAGAATTGGACACGACTGAGCACCTAGGCACGCACGCACTTCATTTTAAGCTCCATTTTCCTGGCTCTTCTTTATTATGATCACCTTACAGGCTGACAAGTTCACAATCTTCATAGAAAGACACTATGTCCCAATGGTCAACATCATGGCTGCTATAGAGAATGGAACATACCCTTCTTGTCTCTGAATTTCTCTAGCTCATCTAGGAGACATACCATATTTGGAAAGGCAAGGTAGATCCCAAATCCACACACTGACACAGATCAATCCAGAGATGATCCACAGTTCAGTCTATAAGGATGTAAAAAAGTCCTTGCCACCCCCAGTTTCTAGCTTCCACTGATGAGTCTTTCTATTAATAGATTCACAGGTCCAGCACTTCAGTATTTAACCCTAAAACAAAGCAACAGCTAACACTTCAGTCTTTGTGAGAAAGACTATAAAAGCCACTAGAGTGATGAATTTTAAAAGCTAGGTTGTTGCAAAAGAACGAGAAAGTCAGAAAACTCTCTCCTCTAGCACAACAGTGACCTATGACTAGCTTTCTCACCAGGTATGGGGCCCCAAAGGCCCCTGAGCATCAAATATCCACATTGAGCACTACATGATAGGATGTGCCTATCTTCCCAATGCCCCTAAAACGGTGCTTCCCCATCTGCATGGATACATTGAAGGAAAAGTCAGATATACTCAGGTACCACAGAAGGGTTCTAGGCTTTATGAGCAAAGGATGATGCTGACATTCTGGAACTTAGAATGTAGCTTGTTTTCCCCAAAACAGTTGTCAAATATTCTGTATTAACCCTGTTCCACAGTAGACAATTTAGTAAAATTTCTCAGATCAACTGTTTTCAGAAACCAGGCCAACACCAAACTCTGGTAGATGAGAGTAGAACTCGAATATGAGAGTAAATGTTCAGACAAGGCTGAATAAACCAAAGAATATGAAGACTATTCCTCAGACAGACAATGAAGTCATAAGATCGTAGAACTGACCTGTAGTAAAAAGTGCGTCAGTGAGGATGATGTCTGGCTGCATGTAATGAAACCTGAAAAATTTTGGCTTTAATAAGATAAAGCCCCAACTGATGCTACAAAGAGAGGGGCTTGGAAAGACCATGAAGATCAGAAGCAATTGCTCCTAATCCCTTGGGTCCCTTGAGGTCTTGCCCTGCCAGTGCCTTCCCAGAGCCCAGACCAGTATCCTACTGCCTTCTATACTGGGACTTTTGTGTCACAGCTGAGCTATCATGGGATGAACTTCCTAACATCTTCAGTTGACCAACCTGTAAGTGCTGGAGACTTGACGTCCCATAGGGTCATCCCTGACCATCCACCAGCTCCCAGCTCCCACCAAATACTTTCTTCCAAATACAGTATGGGGAGACAGCAGCTTCAGACAGCCTTTCTGAAGATACCAAGACAGGGAGCTGGCTTGTTATCAAGCTGTGGTAATTCAGAATGCACAGCTACATTTATTCTCCTCCTCCCCTGCCTCTGCAGATGGCATTAGTGGTAAAGAGACCGCTTGCCAATGCAGAAGATGCCTGAGACAAGGGTTCAACCATTTCTGGACGAGCACTTCATTTTAGGGCTTCCCTGGTGACTGAGGGTAAAGAATCCGCCCGCAGTACGAGAGACCCAGGTTCAATCCCCATGTTGGGAAGATTCCCCTGGAGGAAGGCATGGAAACCCACTCCAGTATTCTTGCCTGGAGAATCCCATGGACAGAGAAGCCTGGTGGGCTACAGTCCATGGAGCAGCAGAGTTGGGCACAAATGAAGCAACTTAGCAAGCAGAGCAACATGCAGCAAACAAGGCAAAATGTTCTATTTTGTCAACAAAATGAAGTTGAAATTTAGGCGATCAAAGGCTGGGATGGTGGCCCAGGCTCCCTCCAGCTCATTGCTCTGCTATTCCTACAGAAGCACTTCTTGCCACGATCCCAGTTGTTGACCAGAATGCCTGCTGCTGCTGCCAGAGCTGACACCAGATCCTCGCTCAAAACCTGTCAGTTTGGTTCAGTTGCTCAGTTGTGTCCGACTCCTTGCGACCCCATGGACTGAAGCACACCAGGCTTCCCTGTCCATCACCAACTTCCAGAGCTTGCTCAAACTCATGTCCATTGAGTCAGTGAGGCCATCCAACCATCTCATCCTTTGTAGTCCCCTTCTCTTCCCACCTTCAGTCTTTCCCAGCATCAGGGTCTTTTCAGGTGGCCAAAGTATTGGAGTTTCAGCTTCAGCATCAGTCCTTCCAATGAGTATTCAGGACTGGTTTCCTTTAGGATGGACTGGTTGGATCTCCTTGCAGTCCAAGGGACTCTCAAGAGTCTTCTCCAACACCACAGTTCAAAAGCATCAATTCTTCAGCGCTCAGCTTTCTTTATAGTCCAATTCTCACATCCATACATGACTACTGGAAAAACCACAGCTTTGACTAGATGGACCTTTGTTGGCAAAGTAATGTCTCTGCTCTTTAATATGCTGTCTAGGTTGGTCATAGCTTTTCTTCCAAGGAGCAAGTGTCTTTAAATTTCATGGATGCAGTCACCATCTGCATTGATTTTGAAGCCCCCCAGAACAAAGTCTATCACTGTTTCTATATTTCCCCATCTATTTGCCATGAAGTGATGGGACCGGATGCCAGAACTTATACAGGACTGGGGAAACAGACTCTTGGAGGGCACAAACAAAACCTGTGCACATAGTTTCACTGAGTTAGACAAGGCTGTGGTCCATGTGATCAGTTTGATGAGTTTTCTATGATTGTGGTTTTCATTCTGTCTGCCCTCTGATGGATATGGATAAGAGGCTTATGGAAGCTTCCTCATGGGAGACTGTGTGAGGAGGAAAATGAAAAGAAAAGTAAAGGTGAAGTCGCTCAGTTATGTCTGACTCTTTGCAACCCCATGGACTGTAGTCTACCAGGCTCCTCTGTCCATGGGATTTTCCAGACAAGAGTACTGGAGTGGGTTGCCATTTCCTCCTCCAGGAGATCTTCCCAACCCAGGGATTGAACCCGGGTCTCCTGCATTGTAGGCAGATGCTTTACCATCTGAGCCACCAGGGAAGTCAACTGAAGGGGAAACTGGGTCTTATTCTGATGGGCGGGACTATGCTCAATAAATCTTTAATCCAATTTTCTGTTGATAGGCAGGGCTGTGTTCCCTCCCTGTTGTTTGACCTGAAGCCAAACTATGGTGGAGGTAATGAAGATAATGGCAACCTCCTTCAAAAGGTCCTGTGCATGTACTGCCCCACTCAATGCCCCTGACCCTGCAGCAGGCCACCGCCGACCCACACCCCTGCTGGAGACTCTTGGACACTCATGGGCAAGTCTGGGTCAATCTCTCGTGGAGTCACTGCTCCTTTCACTGTGTAGGGCCAACCAAGGTGGACGGCTCATGGTGGTGAGTTCTGACAAAACATGGCCCACTGGAGAAGAGAATGGCAAACCACTTCAGTATTCTTGCCTTGAGAACCCCAAGAACAGTATGAAAGGGAAAACCTGTCAACCCCCACCTTTAACAGGCATTAACATAAATGCTTGAGTCACAGGGTCCAAAGATAAGAAAGTCACAAGGAAAACAAAAACCAGACAGAACCAGCTAGAACCAAGATGGCAATGAATTTGACCTCCAAAAGACTCCAAGTTTCATTATATGTAGATTTTACTACATTAGCATATTAAATAACATGTCTACCACAACCAGGACTGGAAATCAAGGACCAAAAATGGATAAAAAGGGAGAGGCATCCTACTCCCTCTAAAGCCCTGCCCCTTCCCTTTAGACTAACGCATATACTTCCCCATCATTAGCCACCGCCCTCCCTTCTTTGTCTTTAACTCTTTAAATCAAGTGCCTCTCATCACCTGGCCAAGAATTTCATCTGTGAACGAAGCTCCTGCTTCTCCGTTCTTTGGCCACTGAGCAAAGCTTGTGCTGCAACAATCTCAAGCTTTGGTTTTCTTATTTGGCTACAGAAACCCAAACAGAAAAAGAACCTTTTACCACCAAGGCAGAGGAGTGGCCTCAGCCACGCTGGGATATGAGCAGAGTCCACACACTTAGTTCAGTAACATTATCCCAGCAAAATTCTACACAGAAAGATGGACAAAGAGTTGGAGAAAAAGAGGCAAAAGACATGCAGCAGCCGTCTGTTAGGCTTTCCCAGAAGCTACCACAGAACATTTCCACTCTTTCTCTTTCGGCTAGAACTGTATCTATCCCTTTATCAAGCCACAAGGAAGGCTGGATCATTAATTTCTTCCCCGGTGGCTATGTGTTCAGATAACAACCAGGGGTTTGAGTTAAAAAGGAAGAATGCATATGAGGTAGGGAAGCAACTGCATTCTGTGACAAACTCTGAGAGGGTCCTACTCAAGAGGTCATTAATGAGAGGCAGCTGCTAGTTAGTGATTGTGTGCACCAAAGTATGAGTCGCTTCCAATGATTTCAGTGAAATGCTCGTCATTTTCAAACTTCTCAAACTATAGTTAACATTAATTTTAGACAAAATGTGCCTTTCAACTTTTTTCCCAATTCTGTTATGAAGAAAGTGAAAAGTGAAAGTGTCAGTCACTCAGTCATGTCTGACTCTTTGCGAACCCGTGGACTATATATAGCCTGTCAGGCTCCTCTGTCCATGGAATTCTCCAGGCAAGAATACTGGAGTGGGTGGCCATTCCCTTCTCCAGGTTATGAAGTAAGAGTGGGATAAAGTTCTAGTTTCCAGCATAATGAAAATTAATACTGTTAACTGCCATTCTCAGGGATGTTAAACAACAATGACTTTAAGAGGAAAAATTCATTCATTAAATTTATTGATTTTTTTTTCGTTCTTTCATACATTTTTCAGCACAATTGTGTCAAACACAACTGGATGCAAACAATATAAATAGAGAAGACTTACTCCCTGGTTCAGTTGCTCTCAAATCCTGAGTTGAACAAGACAAGAGGAAACTACGGAAAAATCAACAAACAAAAGAAAAGGAAATTTAAATTCCTTTTCCAAAGCTTCAGTAAGGTTTGCACTCTCTCCCTTTGTTTTAAACGTATATCCCTATAAAATAACTCACTCGTGGCGCTAAATTCCTCAAAAAAGATTTGGTCCACCTAAATCTTTGCTTAGGCTTTTTTATTTATCTGACACCCAAAATGTTGACTCTGTTAGTTATCACAGCTAATGAAACCATCATACCTGAAATCTAAGGTTCCATGTCTAATCACTCAAGGAGTAGACTGCCCTCTAATCTCATCACCAATCTTGCAATGATATACAATTCACTTCCAAAAGGAGTAGAGGAGAAAGAAAAGCCAGATCAAGGCCAAATCATCATTATCTAGAACGCAGCCTGTATTTGTAGGATGCCACTCAGATTCAAGCACATGCCCGCACCCACTTCAGTGTAGGACAGAAAAAAACACAGTCCCACAAGGACAGTGACACTCTCCAAAGGTCACTGCAAAACTCCCAGCAACCTGGTCCCACAGTAGCGTCAAACCTTCCCTGAATTTCCTGGCCCATCATCCATTCCTCCCTACTATTTAATTTTCTGTTACTATATTGAGTACTTTTTTTTGAAAGTCAATCTATCCCTATTACCACTTACACCTCTCAAACATAGTATTTTCTACCTTAATCTGCCCAAGTTTTCCTCTTGCAATTAAAAGTTCTCCATCAAGGTAAATGTTAAATAATTAAAATCCCCAAACACTGTAATCCCATGATGAAGCAGACATCAGATGATGCCCTCAGAGAAAACTGCGCATTTGTGAGAGAAAATGTCTGAACCGCTTTCTATCAGGAATATGAGATGACTTTCAATTTGTGGTTTACTGGCTAAATGTAGGCCAGACTCTCATATATTAAAGGATAAAGAAGTCTTATCTATTAGCTTTGGTTTGTTTCACCATTTTCTTACTATATATCAGTTCAATTCATCTTTCTGATACTAATTCACATCTTCATAGTATAAAATCCAAATTCACATCCATATCTTTAGCTACTGACTGGTCTTTTCTCTCCTTCTAGCTTCTACTTTCATTTAAGATTTTGTAAAGTCTTAAATCATATAAGAATTCACTGCTCACCAGCACAATATTCCTCATAAAATCTCCAACTGGGCAGCTCTAGTAAGCACAAACAATACCAAGCTGAAGACAGAAGACCATTAGTCAGTATACTGTTTTCTTTCTTTTTTTTTTTTTTAATTGGAGGATAACTGCTTTATGGGTTTCCCTTGTAGCTCAGCTGGTAAAGAATCCGCCTGCAAAGCGGGAGACCTGGGTTTGATCCCTGGGTTGGGAAGATCCCCTGGAGAAGGGAAAGGCTTCCCACTCCAGTATTCTGGACTGGAGAATTCCATAGACTATATAGTCCATGGGGTTGCAAAGAGTCGGACACGACTGAGCGACTTTCACTAACCCGTTCACTCACTGCTTTATAATGTGTTAGTTTCTATTGTACAACATGAATCAGTTATATATATATTCACACATATCCCCTCCCCATACACACACACATATATACACACACATGCACATTTCCCCCCTACCCACCCCCCATCCCACCCTCTAGGTCAGCACAGAGCGCTGAGCTGAGCTCCCTATTCTACACAGCAATTTATCACTATCTATTTTACACATGGTGGTGTATATATGTCAATGCTACTCTCTTAATTCATACCAACTTCTCCTTCCCCTCCTCCCCGGTGTCCACAAGTCCATTCTCTACTTTTGTGTCTCTATTCCTGCCTTACAAATAGGTTCATCTATATCATTTTTCTATATTCCATATATATGTGTTAATATATTTGTTTTTCTCTTGATGACAGACCCTAGGTTCATCCACATCACTACAAATGACCCAATTTTATTCCTTTTTATGGCTGAGTAATATTCCATTGTATATATGTACCTATCCATTCCTCTGTCAATGGACATTGAGGTTGCTTCCTCGATATACTTTTTTTGAGGTCAACTCATGCAGGCAATGTAGAACCTGTGGAGGTTAGTTCTGATTAACTTCATGTCTCAGATCCTTGCTTTTCTTTTTAAAATTCTCTTATTTCTAGCTCTTGGGTACACCAGGAATGAGTTCGGTGAGGTAACATCTCCCCAGAGGAAATATGAGCAGAGGCCTCAAGATAGAAGGAATTTTGGCCATTGGAGCAGCAGAAGGCAGGCCAGTGTGGCTCCAGCATGATGAGGGGTAGGTAAAGAGGCAAGACAAGGCTGAAGACAGGCTGGGTCATATTCCTTATGGGACTCAACACTGTCCAACCAGGTATCAGGTTCCAGGGCTTAACACTATATTCCACAATAATAACCAGGCTTGGTGAAATCCAACTCATCCTAGCTCTTACCTGTTAAACACGTTTTACATGAGTATCCACCCTAATTCTCACACTAATTCTCAAGGACAATTACCCTTACCATTTACAGATTAATAAGACAACACAAAAGAGTAAAAACAATTATTTAAATCAAATAGCAGGGTCTGTCAAATTGTCACCTTCAAAATAAAGAAGGTGGAAGATAGAAAAGTTCACTTTGCATAGGATAATAATTGTCCTCATTAGCATTACCATGGCTACACATCCTCTCCCCCAGCCATGTTGGAGAAGCAGAAGTATAAATATGATGCTAAGGAATTTGGCAAGCTACCCTAACTAGTAATTAGCTTGGGGAAAAATTTGGTGGGACCTCTATGAAGTTTGGGCACAGAAAAATCTCCATGCTTAAGAACATGCCACTTTTCTGTTTAATATCCAGAATCACTCATCTGGAAGGCAGACCTTCACATTGTTAGTGACAGAAGGGAGAGGAAATGTGAAAGGATGAAATCGGGGAGTACACACCTCAAAACGTGATAAATCCCCGTTGCCTGTCCCAGATTGGCAGAGAGGCAGCATTTAGCCTTCCGGTTCTCTGTTCCTCTTACTCACAGATTCTAGCCCTGGTGTTACCTGGCGCTGGCTTCTGAACCCTGTCTCCCAGACTTTAGCTATTTAAGACCAGCTGTTTTGCTCAGCACCTTTCCTGATGCAACTCTTAAATACGAATCTCAGCCTGTGTTTTGATGACATTTAACTTCCAGCCTCTCCCAGTCCATCATTTTACTGTGGAATCCATTTCTTGGCTGTTTTGTTCTTCACATAGATGGCCACTGATATTCTGACGATAGCTGGCAAGTGGTTCAACGCTTAAGTGCAGAACTATGAAGCCAGAAATGCAAATGGCATACTTGGAAGCCTTAGTATTTGTTTTTACTGAACAAATTTTGGTGGGTACTTTTGGGGTCCTGGCATTATTTATGTGCTGCTTGTATTGGAAAGTCACAAACTGGGTGACTAGTATTGGGTGGATCTGTTTAAGAAGGTCAGTGGTGTCGATGTTGATTCTCATTATTTACGGCTGCCTTAGAGTATACGTGGCTTGCTTTTATCTAAAGTTTCCATTCCACAACTAAAAGACAGAGTGCTGAGTTTTAAGAAAATATGATATACAAAAAGTCAGTTATAAGAAAGTAACTTGGTAAGCTGAACTATTATTTATTGATTTTTACCAAAGGATTTACCAAATATATTTACCAAAGGATTCATGACGGATTCAGAGATACTGAGATTCCTTGACATATTAAAAATGTGACTGAATTTCCAAAAGCTTTACTTAACAGTTTACAGAATATGTTTATTGTTCAATGGTAGGAACATCGGTGGATTATCTATAAAGAAACATCTGTTGTTTGGATCTAACTCTAAAATGTTCCTGATTTGATGATCATGTTTGTGTTTTACTATATATTCAGAATAAATATTTTGATTTTCATGGTAATGTCAAAAGTAGCAACGTCTTTTCAAGGCTTCAAAGTTCAAAATGGAACCTGCATAAATGAACTATTAGTCTCTCTAAATCACTAATATGTCTCTCATGTTTTAAAAGTAGGGCAAGCATAGTAAATGTTGGGTTTGTGTTTCGCTTTTTTAAAGCAAGAACTATCTTATCAATCTTTTTAACACAAAACTATATAAGAAACTTTAGACAAGGTGCCAGTGGAATGAATCTGCTAACGAAATTCCATTTGACAAGTTTTAGGAATTACTTTTGACATAATTAACCAACTTTGCTCCATTTCATGTTTGCTCTGTTTCCAGGAGATGCCACTAGGCAGAATTCAGCAAGTTGAAGGCCTATATGCTTTCAGCACTCATATCTGCAAATATAGTCCCACCTGAGGCTTTCCAGGGGTATTAACCAAATAGCATGCTTTTCTTTTAAACTTCTGTATATGCCTCTAAAGTATAAGATCTCTTTTTTAATAACATAGGAATAATATCATATGCAAAATGATAGTAGTTAAAGAATAATATTATCAAACACATAGATAATATTTAAGTATACCCATAAAATGTTTTGGGTTTCTCTTAGGAGAGTGAGAAGTGGAAGATGTTTTTTTTTTATAGTTAATGCATTCAAACCATAATCCAAATAAATTCCCCACAATGCATTCAGTTGATTTGTCTCTTAAATCTTTTTAGTATTCATAGCTTTTTTGTTGAGCAAAACTGAGCATCTGACCTCTTGGTCTTTTTACTTCCTGTATTTTGCTGATTGGTACTCTCATATTATTGTCTAATCTATTCTTCTATTCCTTATATCTCCTATAAACTGGTAGCTAGAACTAGAAGCTTGATCAGACTGAAATTCAATTTTTTGGAAGGATGCTTTTTAAATCAGAGAAAATTAATTGAAATGTATAAGGGCAGAATCCAATTTCAGATAAAGGCATAATGTCAGGCTTTTAGAGTTATCTGGACTGGAGGTAAGTATCCCTATGTTTGTCAGAAACTTTTAGGAAAGGAGCATATCCTAAAGTTACTCATCAGTAATATCATTTAGTAGTGAAATTAAGATAAGCTTCCATTAGAAGGGGAAAGTTTTATAAAAACTGAAGTGATTGATATAATGCACAACCTATATGGCCATTAATAATAACATCACATAAAATCCAGATGTCATTGACAATGAACTTTTTTTTTTAACTTTTTTTTTTATTAGTTGGAGGCTAATTACTTTACATCATCACAGTAGTTTTTGTCATACATTGAAATGAATTAGCCATGGATTTACATGTTTTCCCCATCCCGGTCCCCCCTCCCACCTCCCTCTCCACCCGATCCCTCTGGGTCTTCCCACTGCATTCAGATGAGAACAGAATAGATCATGAGCAGCCAGGAAAATAACTGTATACAGACAGTCCCCAACTTATGATGGTTCAACTTATGATTTTTTGACTTTCTGATGGTGCTAAAGCAATATAGATTAAGTAGGGACCATACTTTGAATTTTTATCTTTTCCCCAGGCTAGTGACATGCTGATACTCTTTGTGATGCTGGGCAGTGGCAATGAGCCACAGCTCCCAATCTACCACATAACCAAGAGAGTAGTAAATGACAAAAAACACTTACATCCATTCTGTACACACAAAATCATTCTGTTTTTCCACTTTCAGTACAGCGGTCAATAAATCACACGAGACATTCAACACTTTATTTACAAAACAGGCTTTGTGTTAGATGACTTTGCCCAACTGTGGGCTAATGTTAAGTGTTCTGAGCATGTTTAAGGTGGGTGAGGCTAAGCTATGATGATCAATAGGTTAGAGTATTCAATGCATTTTCCACTTAATATATAAGCTTTCAGCTTACGTAACCTCACTGTAAGTCAAGGAAGGCCTGTATCTGTAACCAGTTTTGAACTCGTCCTGTTTTCCAAAGAGAAGAGGTAGCAAAAGCCGAGACAAATGCCACCTTCCATGCCACTCTCCCACCTTGGTTGTTTAGACATGGAATACAAAGAGAAGCAGATGCATGCCCAGGGCAAATTCAGAAGAATTCTGCTCAAGGAAATTTCAAAAACTGGTGCAAAATTAAACTGAGATTTCTAAAGGGGGAATTATAAGCTGTTTGAGGTTCTTTGGTCCATGCTCTGGGCTGGCTGCTTTGTGGACTCACAGGATGGCAGGACTTGCTCCTGCACAGTTCACACGTGGGAAGAAAAGAAAGGGTGCATGCAAACAGCACATATGGGCTCCCCATTCCCATATACACATCACCTCAGGGTTTACAAGTCTGATCCTTTCATCTCCTTGCCTAAACATGATGTATGGACTGCCTTCTTTTCTCACACTAATCCAGGGATTCTGACACTGAAGGGAACCTAAACTCCTTCCTACTCCATGTAGCTGTTTCCAATAAATTGTACTAAGCATCCTTTTGTGCTCTCAAATTTTAGTGAATGATACCTACTAAGTGCATGTATTTACAACTGTCATTGTGAAGCTATAATGCCACTAAAAGTCTTTATGTCAGAAGTGAAATTGAATTGTAAGGTGGTATTTTGCTACAAAATAAAATTTTAATTTCTATCTCTTCCCCAACTTCAGGAGAAGATGTTAAGGTTTTCTATTTTATGGTGGAGAATAAGGGAAAAACCGATTTGAAACATCAATGTTTCTAAATCCAACATATATTTTAAACTGTTTAAATGTAATAAATTCTGGCATTGCTTTCCTTTGGCTTCTTTTTAGAGAGGTCCATCTTCCTGCCAAATAAGAAGTAGATTTTTTTTTAATACTTGTGACATTTAAAAGCTAATAATTCCATTTATAGATGTAAAGCCCTTCAAGTAAACTCCTGTCACTAGGGAAAGATTGGATTATGTAGTTTACCTATGTTTTGTTATTTTAACTAAAATCTGTGAACTTGGTTAATTAACACGGTTAATTTTTGCTTTTCTTGGGTTGGTTGCTGGGCCTGTGATCCCCAAATGGAATGAAGACCACAGTAGGCTGGCTTCACAGTGGTGCACTTAAGTAATGAACACTCATAAACTACATCAAAATATACACTAGCCATCAACGTGAAGAAAAAATAGCCATACCACAGATCCCAAAATAAAATGGCAGACAGCAATATTATACAGAAGGCCATCAACGTAAAAGGAAGACTCTTCTATGAAGACTTTTCAAAGTTCTCAAAGCAGGTCTGCTCATCAAGGACTGTGAATCACAACGTGTGTGGCACACAAGGCCACAGGATCTTGTACAAGCAAGATCCAAGATGATGTGTTTGCTCTGATGGTAAGAGCCAGTGCTAAGAACACATTCTCAACTGCTCCTGCTACCCAGGACCTTGGCAAGAATCCACAGATGAAACATCAGCCCAAGAGAGGTCTTTCAACAACGCTGCCAGCACCAGGTAACTGAAAACATGTAAGAGTCTCATCTGACTCCAGAGTGTCAGATCCAATGATCATGTTAACACCAACACTGCTAACAAGGGATGTGGTAACTGGATGTTGTGAATACAAGAGGAAATTCACAAAGCATACATTTGAAAGTTTAAGATGAATTTTTTTTAAATTTCATAATGTTTTAGAGAAATAAAGGTTTGCCTGACAGATTCAATGACACCATATTATATCATAAAGAAGTCAATGATACTTTTAAAGGTAAAGGACTGGGTGCTAAGGGGAAAAATGAAATCAACCTTAAGGATACCAAGTCAAATTCTTGTAATTTTCAAGGAAGAGGAAAAAGAAAGATATCAAAGAATTCAAGTGAGTCAAATTGGGGGTGTTAATTTAGAGAAAATTATTTTGGTAAATCAAAGTATAAGTAACACATATATGCCTTTCTGGTTGTTAAGTAATTAGACTCTGAAGTCAGACTGTCTTGAGTTTGAACCCTGGCCCCACTATTTACTGGCTGCATGTCTTTAAGGGAGTTGCTGATACTTTCTGTGCCTCCACTTCCTGTCAAACGAGGATAATCATAGTTCCCAGTTTAGCAGGATTATGAGGATTTAAATGACCTATGCACAGTCACCACTGGCAGACAACAAATACTTCATAATTTTAGTTGATGTCAACATAATCACCGAGCAGTAAGTAGATATTATGATGCTGCTCCATCCTGAGATATTTGTGCCCCCTAAAGCCAAGCACTACCAGGGTTCTCCCAAAAATGTCACTCAGGCTAAATTTACTGTACAAATTTTGGAAAGATAAACAACAAAGAGAAAAATCTTTTGTCATGGGACCATAGGAGTTAAATAAAATTGAAAGAGTAATAGCCAGTACAGTGATTGTTTGAAAGCTCACATTTGCTTTCTACTGCAATGAATTTCTTGAATGAGAGTGAATAAAAAAGTAAAGGTTAGAAATTCCACCTGAACAAGTAATTGCCTTCAAAGACCAATCATCTACTGCCAGATAGCAAATGTTGAGCCTAAATTATGAGACCTGTAGAAAGAACTGGCATTGTTCCAAGGCATCGAAAGTACTTTTCAGTACACTGTAAATTATTCATTTATCACAATATAAAGAAAAATATAAATGCAAAATATTAAACTTCTTTTTTTTCTTTACCTAGAAATAGCTCTACATCAAATATCAGTATATAATTTATCATCATGCCAGAAAATTATTCTGGAATAAGAGGGAAAGACAATTCCAAAATTCACCCACCAATTATTGTGATGTTCCAGACGAAATCAGCCTCATATTCACCTTGCTCATCCGCATAACTCATTTAGAGTAATAGAACCAAATTTGCTCACAATTATACACACACATTTATTTTAATGGTATTTAATCATTTAACTCAGATCACTATTATATCTACTACTGTGGGCAGGAACCCCTTAGAAGAAATGGAGTAGCCATCATAGTCAACACAAGAGTCCGAAATGCAGTACTTGGATGCAATCTCAAAAACAACAGAATAATCTCTGTTTGTTTCCGAGGCAAACCATTCAATATCATGGTAATTCAAGTCTATGCCCTGACCAGTAATGCTGAAGAAGCTCAAGCTGAAAGGTTCTATGAAAACCTACAAGACCTTTTAGAACTAACACCCAAAAAAGATGTCCTTTTCATTATAGGGGACTGGAATGCAAAAGTAGGAAGTCAAGAAACACCTAGAGTAACAGGCAATTTGGCCTTGGAGTACAGAATGAAGCAGGGCAAAGGCTAGTAGAGTTTTGCCAAGAGAACGCACTGGTCATAGCAAACACCCTCTTCCAACAACACGAGAAGACTCTACACAGGGACATCACCAGATGGCCTACACTGAAAACAGACTGAATATTTTCTTTGCAGCCAAAGATGGAGAAGCTCCATACAGTCAGCAAAAACAAGACCTGGAGCTGACTGTGGCTCAGATCATGAACTCCTTATTGCCAAATTCAGACTTAGTAGGGGAAACCACTAGACCACTCAGGTATGACCTAAATCAAATCCCTTATGACTATAGAGTGGAAGTGAGAAATAGATTTAAGGGACTAGATTTGATAGACAGAGTGCCTGATGACCTATGGATGGAGGTTCGTGACATTGTACAGGAGGCAGTGATCAAGACCATCCCCAACAGAAAGAAATGCAAAAAGGCAAAATGGCTGTCTGAGGGGCCTTACAAATAGCTGTGAAAAGAAGAGAAGCAAAAAGCAAAGGAAAAAAGGAAAGATATACCCATATGAATGCAGAGTTCCAAAGAATAGCAAGGAGAGATAAGAAAGCCTTCCTCAGCAATCAGTGCAAAGAAATAGAGGAAAACAACAGAATGGGAAAGACTAGAGATCTCGTCAAGAAAATTAGAGATCCCAAAGAAACACTGCAGGCAAAGATGAGCACAAAAAAGGACAGAAATTAAAAAAAAAAAAAGGACAGAAATAGTATGGACCTAACAGAAGCAGAAGATATTAAGAAGAGGTGGCAAGAATACACAGAAGAACTATACAAAAAAGATCTTCATGACCCAGATAATCATGAAGGTGTGATCACTCACCTAGAGCCAGACATCCTGGAATGTGAAGTCAAGTGGGCCTTAGGAAGCATCACTACGAACAAAGCTAGTGGAGGTGCGGGAATTCCAGGTGAGTTAATTTCAAATCCTGAAAGATGATGCTATGAAAGTGCTGCACTCAATATGCCAGCAAATTGGGAAAACTCAGCAGTGGCCATGGGACTGGAAAAGGTCAGTTTTCATTCCAATCCCAAAGAAAGGCA